CAAATGCTGGTGAAAATGTGAAGGACCTAAACTTTCAAAATTGCTACAGGAAGCATAAAATAACTGTCACTGTAGAAAATTTAGGAGTTTCTAAAGTTAAACACCTGCTACATGATCATATCATTCCAGTTACAGACATTTACTTAAGAGGAAAGAAAATCTGTATACAAATGTTCATAATAGCTTTTTGTATGAAAGTGGGAGAAAAAAAATAGAGTGGGAGGAAAAAAGTCCAATGTCTGTCAATAGATGGATAAACAATCACAGTATACCCATATAACACAGTATTTTTCAGGAGAAGCAATGAATTGTTGATATATGCAGTAATTTGGACAAATCTTAAAGCAGTTATGCTGAGACAAGCACTCCAGAAAAAGAAAATACTCTATGTTGTATTACAGTACCTTCCCTTATCTGTGGTTTTACTTTCTGAAGTTAATACTGAAGTAGGTTTTAAATTGCATTCCACGCAATCACAATGGTAAACAACCAATATTCTATTGTGTTGCCAAACTACGATATTCAGTAGTTTATGTATACCAAACGTATTTTGGGGGGAGTACCAGGGATGGAACTCGGGTCCTTGCACTGGTGAGGCAGGTGGTGAAACCACTGAGCCAAATCCCTGGCCCCCAAAAGCATTTTTTATTTCCTTTTCTTTCACAGTATTAGGGATTGTGCCCAGCACCTTTGCACTAAGCTATATCTCTAACCCCTTTTATTTTTTATTTTGTGACAGGCCCTCACTAAGTTGCCCAGGCTAGACTTGAGCTTGCTATCCTCCTGCCTCAGCTTCTCAAGCAGCTGGGATTACAGGCATCCACAATCGCACCAAGCCAACATTTTTAATTTATGATGGAATTATAGACCACAAACCCACTGTAAATCAAGGAGCATATGTACTGATCTTATAAAAGTGTTTCAGAAAAAAAGGAGGACACACCTTTCTATTTTCACAAGGCCAGTCTTCCCCGACCTGAAGCTAGGCAAAGAGAAGGTTACAGGGCCGGGGATTTAGCTCAGAGGTTCTGCCACCTGCCTTACAAGTGCAAGGACCAGAGTGTGATCTCCAGTACCAAAAAAAAAAAAAAAAAAAAAAAAAAGAGAGAGAGAGAGAGAAAAAGAAGTTTACAGACCAATACTCCTCTTGTTAAAACATACAAAATCCATAACAATATATTAGCCATCAAATTAAGCAAAATGAATATATGATGACTAAGTGGCGCTGATCTTAGGATGAGATCATTTAACGCTTGAAAAAAATCAGTGCAATTCATCCTATTAACAAAATAAGAAAAATATCAACTCAGTAAATTCAGACAAAAAGCACTGGACAAAAAGTAAGTACAACAGTACTCGGGAGGCTGACGCAGAACGATCACTGAGTTCAAGGCCAGCCTGAACTACAAAGGGAGACCCTGCCTAAAAAAAAAAAAATTCAGTACACATTCACTTTCAGAAAACTCGGAAACTTCCTTAGTATGATAATAGATACCTATAAAAATATAACACTGCACTTAATGGTGAAAGAGTAAACACTTTTTTCTATAAGATCAGTCATGAGGCATTGATGTCTGTTCTCGTCATTTAACATTCAACTTGTATTCAAGTAGTGGTCCTAGACAGTACAATATGGAAAAGAAAATGATGGCAAACATACTGGGACATACAAATGAAAACTCTATTAGCCAGACGTGGTGGCGCATGCCTTTAATCCCAGCACTCGGGCGGCTGAGGCAGGAGGATCGCTGTGAGTTCAAGACCAGCCTGGGCTACACAGTGAGTTCCAGGTCAGTCTGAACTACATAGTGAGATCCTTTCCTAAAAACAAAACAAAAAACAAAAAAACAGAAAAACAAAAACCGTATTTATTCAGACAATATGAACTCATATGTAGAAAAGTCTAACAAATATGTAGAAAATTCTAACAGACCTACAAACTTAGAGAATTAGTAAATGAATTTGATTAAATCTTAGGATACAAGGTCAATGTAAAAAACTTCTTTGCATTTCCATAAACTAGTAAGAGACAACTGGACAATGAAATTTAAAAAAATATTTCCAGCAGCATCCAACAACATAAATTAGAATGAATTTTAAAAATATGTACAAGACATTTAACACAAGAACCATAAACATTTCAAAAAAAAAAAACTGAATGCCTAAATAACTGGAAGATTTATAATGTTAAGATGCCATTCTCTCCAAATTCATCTATAGACTAAACACAATTTGAATTAAATCCCAAGAGGCTTTTTTGTTGTTAAAAAGTAAATTCTAAACTTTAGAGAGAATACACTCAAAACAACTTTGAAAAGAAGAAATTTTAGGGCTGGGGATTTAGCTCAGTGGTGCCAAGCGGAAGGACAGAGTTCAATCCCTGGTACAAAAAAAAAAAAAAAATTTTAAAAACATATCCTATCAGGACCAGGGATTTAGCTCAGTGATTCTACCACCTGCCTTGCAAGTACAAGGTCCCAAGTTCAATGCCCAGTACCAAAAAAACAAAACAAAACAAACAAAAAAAACCCATAACCTATCAGGAGTCAATATTTAGTACATTATCTACAGTAATATAGGTGATCTTACTACAGATATCAGCACATGTGTATGTTCACTTGATTTTCAACAAAACTGCAAAGTAATCCAAAGATACAGGAATTGTCTTTTTAACAAATGTTGCTGCAACAATTTGCTATCCATGGGGAAAAACAAAGAGCAACCTTGACCCTTATTTCATACCTATGTGTGTACACACATACACACACCCATACACACATACAGACAGATCAGACCAAACTGTAAAAGCTAAAAAAAAAAATTAACTTTTTACAAGAGAAACTTTTCAATGCCAACAGGTCTTAGGAACAAAAGATACTAGCCATTTTTTTAAAATGCTATTCTGCTGGCTCTCATGATGAAGGAAGTGAACAAAAGACAAAAATGCAGGCAGCCTCTAAAACAGTGGTGCAGAATTTGTAGCACAAGTGCTGCAGCTAGCTGTTTGTTTTGTTTTGTTTTGTTTTTTGGTACCAGGGGTTGAACTCCGGTCCTTGAGCTTACAAGGCAGGTGCTGGAACCACTGAGCTAAATAAAAGGTGTGCACCACTGCTCTAGAAACTGGGAAAGTCCAGGAATGGATTTTCCTCTAAAGCTTCCAGAAGACACACAGTCCTGTGGATACCTTGATTATAGCCCACCAGGCACCATTTCAGTCTTCTCATTTCCAGAAGTGCATATAAGGTAACGATAAATGTATGTTGTTTTAAGCCACTTAGAATGTGGCAATTTGTTACAACAGTAACGAAATCTACAACATTTTTTAAATTTGTATACTTCAATGAGGAATATGATCACAATGTACTACAAACATATACTAAAAAATTCTTACATACTATACTTCAGTTATAAGATAAACCAACAATAAAAACAGGCAGGATTTGTACCCATACTTCATAAAGAATATTGAACCTATAGTTCACAACAGGATGACCAATAAACACACGAAAAATATGCTCAAGAGCAGAGGCCATCAGGAAAATGCTACTATTAAACCCATAACGACGTAACAGCAAACACCAACTAGCATGATGAAATTACAAATACTGACATATACTGGTACATAATAATGTGAAGCAACTGGAACCCTAATATATTATTTGTAAAGCCATAAAATGGTAAAACCATGTTAGGAAAAAGATACTTTTTAAGTCAGAAATGATGGCCTCCAAAATTTATAAATGAATGTTCCTAGCATCTTTATTCATAATACCCCAAACTTCCCACAGAAACAACCCAAAATGCCCATCAGGGCTGGGGATTTGGCTCAGTGGTTCTGCCGTCTGCCTCACAAGCGCAAGGACCCAAGTCAATCCCCGATACCAAAAAAAAAAGTAGATCTGAAACCAAATGCCCATCAGTCAGTACATGAAACAACAAACATAGTCTGGCCTATGATGGAATACTATTTGGTAATAAAAGGACTACTGATAATTACAGCAACACAGATACATCTCCAAAACATGCTGATCAAAAGAAACAAAACATTAGAAAGTGTATATTTCATTTTTATGAAATTTGACACCAGGCAAAACTAATAATGAGAGAAAGCAGATCAGTGGTTGTCTGGAACTACAGGTTGGCACAGGAGGGGACAAGGCACAAGGCAGCTTGTGAAGTGACAGAAGTGTTCTTGTTTCTTCACTGTGGTGGTGGTCATTTGCATTTTTTAAACCTTATCAAACTGTACCTGGCGCCGGGCGTGGTGGCGCACACCTGTAATCCCAGCACTCAGGAGGCTGAGGCAAGAGGATCACTGTGAGTTCGAGACCAGCCTGGACTACATAGTGAGTTCCAGGTCAGTCTCAACTACATAGTGAGACCCTGTCTCAAAAAAACCAAACCAAACCAAACAAAACAAAAAAACTGTACCTGAAGTAGGAATACAGTAGTCTCCCTTATCTATGGGTTTTTTTAAGAGGGAAAGGGGTCTATGGTTTCATTACCTGCCATCAACCACAGTCAAAAATATTTAATAGAAAAATAAAATAAAATAATATAAAATAAAATAAAAATATTTAATGGAAAATTCCAGAAATAATTCTTGAGTTTTAAATCATCAGTACCCCTCCCCCCAAAAACACTTACTTTCTGTAAGTGAAAAGGTGAAAGTTTATCATAGGCATATATGTATAAGAAAAAACATGGTACACAGAGGATTTGGTACTGTCTGTTACTTTAGGCATCCACTGGGGGTTATGGAATATATCCCCCATAGGTAAAAGGAGACTTTAGTATTTTATTATATATAAATTATACCTCTAAATCATAACTCAATAAAAGCCAGTTTTAAAAGGATGAAATATCAGAAGGTTTCTTAAGTTGAGTTTTCCCTCTCCCATCTGTAATGTATGCCTACTTGCATGACAGAATAGAAGGAACATAAATCTTGATGGCAGCTTGGTAATAACATCTTAAGGAAAAAAACAGCACATGCTTACCTGAGGTGCTACATAATAAGGGGTGAACTGAGGTGTCATCAAGTCACCTTGGTCAATTTTAGCAAATCCAAAGTCACACAACTTCACTGGAGCATCCTGAAATAAAACAAATAGAAGTCACTGCTCCAGAGTTGTCAGTAAGCATTAAAAGAAAATCCAGGTGCATGACATACTAGTCTAACTTACAAGTTTCTGGCTGAGATCAAAGCCTATGAATAGCATGTCATCAGGTCTGGAAACAATGGTTCATGTTGAAGAGCAGTTCTTAGTAACAAAGAAGAAAGGAATTTCTACCCATTTACTTAGCCTTCCTTTATAAAGTCAGCTGTAAAATCAAGATATTAGCTTTCTGGCCCCTCATTAATGGGCCGATCATCTCTCATCAATCTTGGGTGTTACTTCACTTGCAATTGTTAAGTTTCAAGGTAACATAAAATAATGCATAGATTCTACCCTTTCCAAAGGTCTCCCAAATAACATCTACAACCCTAAGTGCCACAAATACACATGAGTATCATCTAAAATTATCAATGCTAGGAGTATGATAGTTTCTCTGAGCCTTTAGGGAAGAAAAAAGGAGAAGAAATAAGCTATTTGCCTAAACCCTCTTCCCCATGAACCTGCAGCATCCCGAACATATTCTGAGCTGTGGTAAGAGTACAGCTAACAGTACTAAAATGCAGAAAAGCAAACTTTTCTCACCAAAGAGTTATCCTTGAAAAGTAGATTTTCAGGCTTGAGATCTCTGTGTGCAATGTTTAACAAGTGACAGTGCTGTAGAGCCAAAGCTATCTGAAAAAGGACACAGTGGAGCAACAGCCTCTTAGAAAGAGAAATCTTTAAAACCCCTGTTGTAGAGAATGCAGGATGTTAAAAAAAATTCATTAAGTCAATCAAAACCTTGGTCAATTTCAAAGCAGAAATTAAGAAAGACTTGAATAAACTGATGATTACATCCTGTAAGAAATGGGGAAAATGGGAAAGAAATGGGAAAAATGAAATGCTCCCACTTTCATTCAGTGACGTATGATGGGCACTGAAGAGAAACTGCTAAGCTTGGCAGTCTCCAGCAGGCATGCGTTTCCCAGGAGGGCAGCAGCAGAAATGCCTGGTGTAGAAGAACTGCACTTGCAAAGGAAATGAATGACAGACTCCACCTCCAAACCAGGTGATCGGGTTTTTCCAACTGATGTTCCAATCTGTCCACCTTACATGCTGACAATGCTGCCTATTTTGTGTGGACTTAAGGGTTTTTTGTTTTATAGAAGATTATCAGAGCTTATTCTTTATTCCTAATATTTGAAAAATGTAATTTAAAAATCAAATAGGATAGATTCTACTGTTCTTCAATTGTCAGTATGGAATTTTCTCAGCCATCCAAATATTATTTCATAATATTAAAATATTATTTCAATCAGGAAGCTATCCAAAAATACTTGGAAAATTTGGCCAAGTTTATTATTATTACCTAACTGGGCTGTGCTTCCTGCTTTTCTTTACCTTGCTTGCTTGGTCTGAAGATAGGCCTTGAGGGTTTAGTTTCTCGCCTTTATAAGAGTTTAGAACCAGTTGTATTCCTAGTATTGAATGTGACATAATCATTCACACTGACTCAATGTGGTTCAAGATGGAATATAACTAGGAATAACCCAGAATTACAAAGATCTTAGAATACTTTTGAAATCTGCAGAAATGACAGGTGATTCATGTAAGAAGCATCTTATATACAACTGCCATAAAACATATTTTTGTACCGTACAATCTTTCAGGTGTTATCAACAGCATTTTATCTCAAAGTCCAATTAAAGTGCTTGGAAGCTGCATGTCTAAAGATATGGAGAGTCAATAAAGGAGGTAAGATCGTCTTCCTTTCAGCATTTATTTAAATCTTACCAGGAAACAGTTGACAACCAATAAAGTATACAGTCCGCCCCCCACAAAATATACAAGGAATGACATTTGTTCTGTTAAGACATTCTTTCTGATTACATAACAAAGCAGGCAATGAGAAGTCAAATAGAGTTTTTCTTTAAGCTTTCTTTTATTCCCCCTAATGAAATTGCACTTGTTAACCAACATAGTTGGCAGTTTGATTGGTACCCGGGGTTAACTTGCCTGCTTTGTTACTTGGCTGGCTTGCTTCTCTGTAAAGTGCCGGTGCTGGCTGATTCTGTGAAATAGCTCTCCCCCTTCCATCATCTCCATTACAATTAAGAGTCGAGCCCTGTTTGAAAGCATTTGATTTTGTTAAGTTTAAAAAAAAAAAACCAAAAAGAACCCTGAAATATAAAAAACTAAACTACAGAGACCTCATCTACAAAATGTGTAACCAAGGTAATGCAGCTACTAAATAAGTACAAAAATTCTCACTTCAAAAAAAAAAAAAATCCACAAATTTTGGTTACCATTCTTTGATAAAATGCTTCTGGTTTCCATCCAAATGCTTTCACCAACAGAGCAAAGTGAAAAATAATCATTGATTCCTTTTGTTTTAAAATTCCTTTTTATTTCTCCACCTATAAAATTCCTACCCTCCTTTCAAGGGCTAGACATCTTTCACACCGCCTCTGTGAAACACCTCACCTCCCACGTTAGTAGCTCCCCTCCTTTATAAAGTTCAGAATATCTTATGCTTGTCCCTCCTTGGTGCCTGTCACACTGCTACAATGATGATGAATTTACATCTCAATCTGTCCAATGAATTCCCTAGAAGAGACTCAGTCTGCACCGATGTGCTTTCAAAACATTTGGGAGCTAAAAGAATAGCATTGATTTTTTCCTTTGAAAGGAAAGTCAGACTAAGCAACAGAGGCTTTTACTATATCAGCCTCTGAGACTTTGCCTAGAATAACGCTGGGCCCCTTTGACTAATACGAAATAGAATTTGTTTAAATTCCACATTAAATACGTTTTTTAAAGAAAGTAATAAAAAATAATCAAGGGCTAGGAGACTGGGTAGATAAAACTGTTAAGGCTGAGTGGTGAGTACCTGGGGATTCATTATATAATTCTGTGCTTTTACAAAGATCTGAAAGTTTCCAAAATACAGAGAGGGGGGAGGAGAAGGAGAAGAAATAGGAAGGAGAAGGAGGAGGAGGAAGGGAAAGGGAGAGGAAGGGGAAAGATAGAAGAGGAAGACTCTGCTACACCTTGGCCTACATATGCACATATGAGGATGATCCTGTGTAGCCTTACCTGGGACTGGACTCATGAGGAAATTGTACACTGTTAGCAAACACTTCAATAATTTGAACTATATTTGGGTGTGTGGCACACATCATGTGCAGACGTACCTTAAAGAGAACAAAGAAAATGTTTCTGTGCAAAGGGGATGCAAACATTTTCTCCTCAAATTTCCCACCAAAAACTGACCACACTAGGTGCAAGTGATAAAAGCCTACTTCAGTTTAAAAAAAAACAAAAAACTAGAAATCACTAAAAATTACTATAATGATTAAAAAAGTATTTTCATTTTCATACACCAATTATCTCCTGGATGCTTTTTCCACAAAGAAAACCTCACTAACAGATTTGCTTTCTACTGTCTTACCTATGATCAAATGAAAATTTTGGCAAATAACTCATTCTACTTCTAAACAAAGAGTAAGACCTTCAGCCAGGCATGGTGGAACACGCCTGTAATCCCAGCATGTGGGAGGCTGAGGCAGGAGGATCATCACACATTCAAGGCCAGCCTGAATTATACAGTGAGATCCTGTCTCCAAAAAAAAGAGTAAGTCCTTTATTGCACATGTTAACAGCATGTTATTGCCCCATCCAGATAATTTAAAACCAATGTATATTTTTAAAACTAGAAATACATCCTTAAGAGTCCTCCTGAAGCATTACTTTTTACATAGCACTCATCCGGGCCCTCATCATATTTTATCTCCACCATTGGGGCAACATTTTCAAAAAGCAAAAACAGAAGTAAACCTGACTATGTCAGGGTCCAAGAAAGGAAACAAGACCATACTAATAACCTCCACGCTGACAGATCTAGGACTAATTTATAATGCTAACATCAATAAAGACAAGAAAAGTGTGGGCATAAAATTCTTTATGCATTTCTGCATTCTCTCCAGGAATCTGCTTTAATTGTAAAAAGAGCAAGTCTTAGGCACTTCAAATATTTAGGCAAGTCGGGGCAATAAAGAACGATACCTCGTTTCTAGCTTTTGGACGATCAAGAAGAATTTTCAGTGCAAACCGTTCTTGGGTACATTTCTTCACACAGACTCTAGATTTGGAGGGAAAAAAATTAATCAGCAATGGTCTATGTTACAGTGAAAATTAACTGCAGAAGTCTGTTCTTTGAGAATTAGACTTCTAATTAAAGATATATCCAGGTGCATCAGAACAAACCTGCCCCTCGGGCAGCAGGTGGTGAGGCAGAAAAGCATTTCACTCCTCTTCCCAGTTGTCCATGCTCAGGTGTCTGCTCCTGAGTAGGTGACATGAACTCACAACAAGCCAATGAAGAAACAGCCTCTGTGGGCTACCAAAGACTCTCACGGTAGCCTCACAGTCTTGACATCTTAAATGAATCCATATTATAGACCATATGACTTGGTCACTTAGCTTTATTTAAGATATATGAGAAAAAACAACATAAAAACATCTAGAAGGAGCCAGGGGTGTGTAGTTTAGTATAGCATACACTTAGAAGGCATGAGGCCCTGGGTTCAATTCCCAGCACCAAAGCCCCCAAAACAAACAAAAACCCTCTACTTGTTAAATTACAGCTATTTCTCAAATGTGGCACACCTGATGCTTCTAACGCAAGACACATTTTAAATGGTCCTTCTCAGAACAATTTTGTCACAATTTTCACATGGATCTCTTACCTAACTGGACCACTAATTCCAGCTCCCAGCTTCTGAGTCCAATTAATATTGTATTCTTCTAAAATGGAGGTTTCCTATTAAAATAAAAAAAGGAGAGTGTGAAAATGATTCCCCAATTAAAAAGCTAAATAGTTAAGTGGGAGGGCCGGGGTGCCGCCACCTGCCTCACAAGTGCAAGGTCCTGAGTTCAATCCCCGGTAACGAAAAAAAAAAGTTAAGTGGGAGTGGAACAAAATAAGGACTATGGCTCAACATTTTATTGGAGAGACTCTACAGGGCTTTATAATTGTATGTTTTATCTAAATGATTTCCAATAAACTAAAGACTTCAGAATAAAATCATTCAGCTCATCTACAAGGTCTACTTGAACAAAACATAGTGTATTTTTGAGGATCTGCAGGCAAGATATTCACTCAAAATACAAATTAATTCAAAAACTGAGCTGGGCCCTTCAATAATGAAGCACCTATTAGGCCCTGGGTTCAATCCACAGCACAATAAACAAATCCAGTAACTATTAAATGCACCTTTGCTGCAATAGTCATGGACATTCCCAAAAGACTGGTCACATATATGCTGCTATTCTATATAGGCTTATATGCTTGAATGTGTTACTCAAATTGTGAGCGATATGAAAGCAAGTTTTTAAGACTAAATTCTTCATTGTAGTTAAGATGGTCCTCTACGTAAGCAGTCCCCAACTTTGTTGGCACCAGGAACATGTTTTGTGGAAGACAACTTTTGCATTGAGGATGTGAGAAGGTTATGGCATGGCCTGGGGATTAGGGACCCCTGCTCTACCTGAGAGCCAAGAAAATTCAACTTATAGAGGTTCTGACCAGAGTTTTAACATTTGACTGCAAATGAGAAGGAAGATCTCTGAAAGTTCAGGGCCAGTCTAGACTACAGGCTCAAACAAACAAACAAAAAAAAACAAAACAGAATGCTAACTGGAAGCCAAGCACAGTGGCATATGCCTATACCCCCAGCTACAATCACTTGAGCTCAAAAGTTCAAGATCAGCAACACAGCAAAGCTTTATCTCAAAGGGGGAGGTAGGATCTAACTAGGTTGCATATCAGGAATGCAAGACTGGTTATTCTCTGAAAAAACAATGATGTTAAATACTATATTACGAATAAAGAAAAAAGCCCTCAGGAGGCTGATGCAGGAAGATTGCCACAAGTTCAAGACCAGCCTAAGCTACATACTGAGTTCAAGGCCAACTTGTCTCAAAAAAATAAAGAAATGGAGCCGAGGATTTAGCTCAGTGGTTCCGCTGCCTGCCTTGCAAGCACAAGGTCCTGATTCCGATCCCTGGTACCAAAAATACACAAATAAAGAAAGAAATAGGGCCAGGGATTTAGCTCAGTGGCATCATGCCTGCCTCGTAAGTGCAAGGACCAGAGTTTGATCCCTGATGCAAAAAGAAGAGAGAGAGAGAGAGAATAAAAAAGGATATAATCAATTGAACAAATGCTGAAAAAAATACTTAACAGAAACTCAACACCCATTTCTGATAAAAATTTAGCAAAGAATAGAAGACAACTTCTCTAGTTTGACAAAGCACATCTACTTGTAAAGGAAGAAGTAAAACAGTCTGTATTTGATGAAGACATGATTTTATATGTTTTTAAAAAAATCCTATGGAGGGCCGGGGATTTAGCTCAGTGGTTCTACCACCTGCCTCACAAGAGCAAGGTCCCAAGTTCGATTCCTGGTACAATTAAAAAATTTTTAAAATCCTATGGAATCTACAAGAAATATATCCCCTAGAACTGATATGCAAATGTAGTAGGGATGTAAAATCAAAAAATAATATACATAAATCCACTATATTTATATGCTCAGCAACAAATCCAATAAATAAAGTTTAAAAAGCAATTCCAGCCAGATTTGGTGTGCATACCTGTCCCAGCTATCTGTGAAGCAGAAGGACTGCAAGTTGGAGCCCAGCCTGGAAATCTAGTGTGGTCCTCTCTCAAAATAAATAACAAGGGACAGGGTTGTAGCTCAGTAGTATCAGTTCAACCCCCAATACCACAATGAGGGGCAAAAAATCTCATGGCATCACAAGTAATAAAATAGGAATAAATTTACCAAGAAGTGCAAGATCTATACACCAGAAGCAAGAAAACATTGCTAAAAGAAACAGAAGTCCTAAAAAATGGAAAATTCATACTATATTCATGAATTAAAGACAATATTGTTAAAATGGCAACAGACCCCAAAATGACCCATAAATTCAAATTCACCGCCATCAAATCCCAGCACAGAAAAAAACACTTCACATAAACTCAAACTGTTTGTTTTGTTCTGGCAGTACTGGAAATGGAATCCAGCAATGCTTTACAGCCTCCTTTTTTGAGACAAGTTATCACTGAATTAACCCAGGCTAAAAAAAGGTGGGGGAGGCCAGGGATGTACCTCATCATGCCTGCCTGGCAAGCACAAGGTCCCAAGTTCAATCCCCTGTACCACAAAATAAATACCCAGGCTAACCTCGAACTTGCAATCCTCTTGCTTCAGTTTTCTGAGTAGCTGGGATTACAGGCATGCACCACCACAGGGGGCGGGGGGTGAGAAGAGAGAGAGGGAGAGAGAAGAGATTGAGACTTAGTGACCTTGAACTAAGCAAAGGTTTCTTTATGTAATAAATACACAAAAGGAAGACATAAAAGAAGAAAATATGCTAAGTGAAAGTTATCAAAATTTGCTCTTCAAAAAACATTAAAAAATAACATAGTGCAGTGGCACACACTTGTATTCTCAGCACCTGGGAGGGAGGCTGAGGCAGGAGGATTCCAAGTCAGAGTCCTACCTGGGCAACTTAGCAAGACCCTATCTCAAAATAAAAGATAAAAAGAGTAAGGGATGTCACTCAATGCAAAGGCCCTGGCTTAAATCCCCAATACTCAAAAAAAAAAAAGAAGATAACATAGGAAGACACGGCAGCACACACCTAAGGCTAAGGCAGTACTGGAAGATCAGTCTCATAAAAACAAAAAGGTGGTAACGTAAGTCACAGATGTATCTGCCAATCATGTCTGTGTTAAATGACTTTTATTAAAAGTTTATAAAGAACTTTTAAAACACTAGGAAACCACCTTGAGTTTGAAGTCAGCATGCACTACACAGGGAGTTCAAGGCCAACCTGAACCATACAGCAAGACCCTGTCTCAAAAACAAACAAAAATCAGGCAAAACATCTGAATACAGTTCACGAGGAAGAAATTCAGGAATGGTGTAAAAAGATGTTCAATAGTAACAGAGTATACATTAACATACTCAGAATAAAATAAATACCTTTTACAACTCTATAAGACAATCTGGGGCTGGGGATTTTGCTCAGTGTTTCCACCACCTGCCTTGCAAGCACAAGGTCCCAAGTTCAATCCCTGGTACTCCCCCCCATCTGATTTTAAAATGCACAAAAGATTTGAATAGATCTTTCACCAGAAAAGATACACAAATGGCAAATAGGCATATAAAAAGATGTCCAACAGCATTAATCATTTTAGAAATGCAAATTAAAACCACAATGCGGCTGGGTATGGTGGTGTACACCAGTAATCCCAGCACTCAGTGAGACTGAGGCAGGATGATCTCTTAGTTGGAGATTAGCCTGGGCTACACAGTGAGTTCAAGGCTAGCCTCAACCATGTAGCAAAACCTCATCTCCAAAAAAAATCACAATGAGATACCACACTACACACCCACTAGCATGGCTGAAATAGAAAACTGACAATGCTAAATATTTGTGACAGTAATAGAATTAGAACCCTTAAACACCCCTAGTGTAATAATGGCACAATTACTCCAGGAAAGTTAGGGTGTTTCTTAAAAAAAAAAAATTAAAAGCCGGGCATGGTGGCATACCCCTATAATCCCAGCACTCGGGAGGCTGACGCAGGAGGATCCCTGTGAGTTTGAGACCAGCCTGGGCTACATAGTGAGTTCCAGGTCAGTCTCAACTACACAGCGAGACCCTGTCTCAAAAAAACCAAAAAATAAATAAGTAAATAAACATAAATTTACCATATCAGTAATTCCACACCTAGGTATTTACTTAGAAGAAATGAAAACATATTCACCTCAAAATATGTAGTTTTATCATTTTATTCTTTTTCTGTTTGTTTGTTTTTTCTGGTACCGGGGTCTTGGGTCCTTGCACTTGCAAAGCAGGCACCAGAACCACTGAGCTAAATCCCCAGCCCTATCATTTTATTCTTAACACTGAAAAAGAAATCTAAATGCCTATCAATTGAGAAAGAATTAAGCAAGACTAATAAAATAAAACTTAATAAGGAATGAAATACTAAAGGATGCACTAATGTAGATGAACCTCAAAAAGTTCCATGCCATGTAAAAGAATTTAAACATGTAAGACTGTCTTTTGTCAATTTCATTATGTGGAATTTCTAAACAAGACAAACTATAGTGATACATAGTATAGGGTAGTGATAGCAAATCTTTTAAAGATGAATGACCAACCTGCAACCTAAAACCCATGTATCGCAAACTCCCAACACCATAATTAAACCTAAATACTCAGTTTTTAATTTAGAAAAAAATAATTCACACATTAACGTCTTTCATCTTAAAAGAAAAACAACATGAATGCCATAAGCTCGCCATCACTGGAGTGGGGTGAGGAACGGAAGTGGCTAACTACAAGCAAGCACACGGAACCTTCAAGGAGGGGTGAAAATGTTCTAAACTGGACTGTGATGATAGCTGAATAACTATAAATTTTCTTAAAACATATTATATAGTTACTTTAGCAATTTATGGTATCAAATTAGTTTTAAAACTAAGGAAATGAATATTAAGGTTTTGGTTTTTGTTTTTGGTACCGGGGATTGAACTCAGGATCTTGTGCTTGCAGGCAGCGGCACCACTGAGCTAAATGAATCTTTACCTTGCTCATCATATAGTATCACTATGTATAACAGAAGACTGACTATATATGTAAGAATCCCAAATCCCAAAATGTTCATTCTCAAGGCATAGCTAAGTACGGAAGTCAGGAGGCTATGGGAGTGGACAGAAGTGGGGATAGAGAGTCTTTAGTTATAGCAATTTGGTATCTTAGTATTGTTTTTTTTGGTACTGGGGATCGAACTCGGGTCCTTGTGCTTTCGAGGCAGGCCACCGAACAGCTGAGCTAAATCCCCGGCCCTTCCTAGGTTTTTTTTTTGTTTTGTTTGTTTTGTTTTGAGACAGGGTCTCACTATATAGTTGAGACTGACCTGGAACTCACCATGTAGACCAGGCTGGTCTCAAACTCACAGCAATCCTTCTACCTCAGCCTCCCGAGTGCTGGGATTACAGGTGTGCATCACCACGCCCGGACTTCCTAGTATTTTTTTAAAGTAGTAGGATGAGATCTCAAAGTCCATCAGTCCATTCTCTGGTAGTCAGACAACAGAAATTCAAGCACTATGGCTGAAGTCCAGGTAAATAGCTTTTCCTGCTGAACTCTACAAGTTCTCATTCCTCATCATTTGATGAACACCTCAGAAAACAACCCCTCAATACAACACAATGCAATAGACCAAAGGTTTTTTTCTGATGTAGTGTTGGCCTGCTTCCAAAGGAGCACATCCTAGTCCAGTGGTGGAGAACTTATGGCATGTGTGTTTTTCTTTTAAGACAAAAGATGTTAATGTTATGAGTTGTTTTTTCTAAAGTAAAACCTCAGTATTTGTGTTTAATTGCAGGGTTGACAGTCTGCAATAAGTAAGTGGGTTTGGGATTGCAGTTTAGGCACTCGTCTCCGAAACATCTGCCATCACTGTGACCAAGCAAGTACTGGCTGTCAGGTATTTTCAACTCCACTAAACTGCGTTGGAGACAAGTTCAAATAGGAAGATTCACCAATAACTCATCAAGTACTATTAGTGAAGAAAAGTTAAAAAAAAAAGAAAAAGAAAAGAAAGAAAATTAGGTGGGACAAGTTACCAAATGAAGAAAATTACAACTCTTCCTAAATGACCCTTAAATTGCTATGCGTTAATATCCATTAAGCTCCTACTAGGTGTTAATTACTGTAATCACATTTAGGTACATTTGTCCATTATATCCTCAAAAATTCCTATGAGCAGGGGAGTCCTCGTCTCCTTTCATAGATAGGAAACTAAGGGACAGAGAAGTGAAAAGACTTACATAAGGGCACACAGAGAAAACGGCAAGGCAGGGATTTCAACCCATGAATTCATTGAGAAACTACTGACAATACTAACATTGCCGCTTAATTTGTATTCTTGTCCACTGTAACTATGCCCCTCTTCTCCCGTAGCTCCCTCTTCTAATGGCCTACAAGTTCCTAAATGCTGTTTCCCACTACTTGTCTTTAATATTATCCACACTGACGCACTGCATTCCAACAATCTTTCTGTTCCTACATCACATTGAGCCTGCTTTGTTTTCAGGGCCTTTGTAAGTTGCTGTTCCCACTGCCAGCAAAATTCTTCCTTGAGACAGTGATTGTTTGCTCCCTGTCCTTCAGAGTGCTACACAAATGTCACTTCCTCAAAACCTCCCTGACTATCCTACTTAAAAATACTACTATTCACCCTTTTGGTATTTCTTTCTTTTTTTTTTTTTGTTTCCTTCTTAGTACCCGGGATCAAACGCAGGACCTTGTGCTTGTGAGGCAGGTGCAGTGCCACTGAGCTAAATCCCAAGCCCTATATTCTTATTTATATCCACCTGGCGATGTTTATTACCTAATTCCACCATCTCTCAGTCTCACTTAAGAGCACCTGTCATGAAGCAAATACCTGAACTTTAAAAATCTGCCACTTATGCTTTGCTTCATGACACATTCATATAGCTTCAAGGAGCAGATCACAAGCCTCTACTAATAAAATCTGAAAAGAAAAAAATGGCTATACTAAAGAACCTTTACATTATTGAAACTTTGATCTTCCTATTGGGAATGTAATGCAGTAATAGAGGGTTTATGTATGATAGAGGTATGTCTAAGATCCTGGTTCAGTCCACACACACACACACACACACACACACACACACACACACACACCTTCCTTAATGTGTGTTTTATGTTGGTGCCAACTTTAAAAGGCTATCTTTGGAATTACTAATGATTTCTATAACAATATATTCCATCTCAAAAACTGTTACAAGTGTAAGTTCTTAGATAGTTATTCATAATAGTGACCGTATAGTGAAGTAAGTATCTTGGAGGGGAAAATAAACTCAAGCTGCCAGTAGATGCTTGTCCCTCAAGGGAAATTGAAATTCTTAAATGCAATGGGTTCATTTAACACTGTAAAATAATTGCCGGGCATGGTGGTGCACACCTGTAATCCCAGCACTCGGGAGGATGAGGCAGGAGGATCACTGTGAGTTCGAGACCAGCCTAGGCTACATAGTGAGTTCCAGGTCAGTCTCAACTATACAGTGAGACCCTGGCTCAAAAGACCAAAAAAAAAAAAAAAAAAAAAAAGAAAGAAACACTGGAAAATAAGTAAATAATGTATCAAACATTAAACTTCAGTGCTAAGAATATATAATTCTAATTTTTGTGGCTACAGTTAACCAGATAACTGACTCGGTGTACAAAATTTGTTAAAAGAGTTAAAAATAGGTTTTAGAAGACATAATTTTATTTGGATCGCTTTGAACATACATTTGCTCTCCTCTTGGATCAGTAAATCATACGACACTCATCTCTTCCTGCATGTACTCAACTCTCCCAAGAAAGAGAAAAGAAAACACGGAAAAGAAAGAACAATATTCCCAAAAGGACAAGCTCTATAGGAAGTCGAACCAGTTTCTTCCGAAACTGCAGATTTCCAGGAGGATGATTTAAATAAATCCGTAGTGATGGATAAAGTCACTCTTGCAAGTGCTGTTGCAGCAGACAACAAGTGCTGGAGGAGACCATACAGCCACTGGCCCTCTTCATCCCACTCGTAGCAAGTATCTCAACGCCACTCACCTTCGTTCTAGCTGAGCGCAAATCACAACAGAGAGCGAGAAAGCGTCGGACATCCTACACGGACACGGACACACACACACCCTTCACCCCAGGACAGTACTAAACCCAAGTGTGCTGGAACTTCTCAGCCCAAATTTTCTCGTTTTCTGAGGCTGCAGCTGGGAGAAATGCGACAAGACAAAACGGCAAAGGTGACATCTTCCCCTCACCTTAATGGCTTTGTCCATGTCGTTCTCCTCCGACATGCTCCGCGAGGCCCCTACAGCCAAGAGCGCCGCAGGCTGCGCAGCTGCTCGGTCCCCTAGCAGCCAAGGGAGCAAAGGGCTCGGAGATCTGGCCCCTGGGCCTCGGGAAGACGGGCAGCAGCCGCCGCTAGCGACAGGAGGGGAAGGGGGCCCCGGCGCCAGATCCGC